GGATTAATTTAAAATGTCTACTAATATTAAAGCCTTTCGCGTTGGTGAAGTGGTGGGCGCACAATAAACAAACAATCGCGTCGCTGATTTCACTACACGTATAAAGATGTTCCCACTCAATCTGATATTTATCGGACCGCGTGTCTTTGGCCGAAGACTCGACTTTTGAACTAATTTTTCCCGGCAAAATGGAATCATTATCCGTTGATTTTTATATCACAAATCGCGCCCGCGGCATCTTTCAAAGATCTGATCTCATTCTGGCGCGCTAATGAATTTCATGGGAAACTCTCGTCATATCCCGCATGTTGTCCGAAATAGTGCCGTTTGAAATTTGACGTTTTTGAACACGTAAACTGTCTCGAACATAATAAGCAAATGGCAATCTCACCAAATTTCGAGCACAAGTAAAGGTGTTCCCACTCAGCTTTGAAATTATCAAAATAAAAATTCAAATTAAAATTGCCGTCAAATATTGCATTTTTCTTTTAGTAAATTGCTGCAAATATCGTCTGGAGATGAAATAGTTGTCCACGGTGAGTGCTCATCATGAAAGCATTGAAATATTTTTTTGTCTAATATTGCTGCCAATTTCGAGTGAAAAATTGATATTTATATTTCAAATTTATGAAAAGTTGAAAATTGCCGCTCGATCACACGGCCGCCCTCTGCTGGCATTGGTCAAGCGAGACCGCAGAGAGAGAGAAAAATCGAATTAGAGCAGGTAGTTTCGTTAAGTGGATGAGGCCCCTCTCCCAGCTCTCACTAACGAACCTCGGGAGCCGCGTGAGCCCGATGAGCCCAGGTTGCCGGGCCCTGCTCTAGGGTGCTCCTGACTCGGTGAGCTGGGCACTGGAGAATCGTGATACGGTCCTGGCCGCTGAGAGGGATACTGCCTGGGATTGAGACCGTCCTGATGGATGAGCGGGGCTCTTGTGGTGACGTGACGGCACTGCACTGAGTCTACACATTCCCGCGCAAATCACTCCGATGCCACGCGAAACTGATAAAAAGAACAAAAATATTTCACTGATCCGGCTCGAAGGACCAAAATGTTTAATGACAGACCTGATTCAGTGGAAATAATGAGAGGATGGATGAGATGAGGACGGATTTTTCAGGGAACATTGAGCGGTTCAGAACGTCATTGCACGGGGGTTTTTTAATATGTGACCAAAAATCGCTTCATGAATTAAATAATATTGCTGAGCGGGTCGTTATTACGTCACAATAAATGAGCGGTTCAGAGAAGTTTAATTGAGCAGTACAGAGAAAAAAAAAACTTAATTAATTTTCCGAGAAAGAGAGCGTGGTGAGCCGTTTTAAAAAATACGCGTATACACAGTCAACGGTTGAGATGCAAATGAGGGAGATAACCCTGCTATAATTTGGCAGGTGATACAGTTTTCGCGGTCACATGACCTAATTATACTATCTATATAGGATAAAGGTGAGCTGCCAGGGAAGTGGCGCCTCAGGTGTGAAAAGTGATGACCCCTTTCATCTGAGGTGAGCGCGTCAGGTGTGCGTGAGTGGTGAGAGAATGGATGAGCCGCCCGTGTGCATGTGTGAATGCCTGTCAGCTGACAGGATTTCCAACATTTTGACAAGTCAATTTTCGCCAAACGTTCCTACATTTGGAGGTAATTTGGTTTTCTTGAACGATTATTATTCACCAAATTTATTCAAATCGATTACTTTCAACAAAATTTTACATAGTTTAGCAGCGTCCTAAATAAATTAAACAAGTACAATATTGCGTCTAGGGTCACATTGCAAACGAGAAAAAAATATGGTTATCAGCTTATTCCGCTGACGATAATATCACCGCTGAATTTCAAATTTAAAAACTGAAAAACTCGTTAAAACTTGTGATCATGACAAGATTGTTAAAGCGTCACATACTTGCTGCAACAGTAGAAATGATGCTATCAAAGTAAGCAAAAGAAATCCTAGAATGATCTAACGTTGTACTCACAAGTGAGTTTCCATACCAACGAATCCAAAAGTCTATTCAAAACCAAGAAAATAATATTTGCCCAAGTTCTATTTTCAACTGTCCGAATCTGTTCCTTAAATCGTCACTTTCATTCCTGGCAGAGGAGGAAGAGAGAGTACGCTGTCGAATCTCTCAAACCGAATCATTTTTTATTGTAAAATTTTAGTTAAGTTCTAGTTTGTCAAGAAAAATTGTAATCACGAGTATTTGCAAACAAACTTTAATTTGAAATGAATATTATAGTGTTTTCAACATAGAAATTTTCGAACGTACAAGACATTATATTCGTATCATCATTATAAATATCGATACCAAATTTATCTTTTCCAGACGGAAATTGATGTACTGGAGCAGTACAGTAATCCGCAGGACAGAAAGAAATATACGTTCCCTCAAGCAGAAACGGATCGTTTCCGGTTGGCCAGTGCTGATGCAAGAAATCCAAACGGCAGCCGTTCAGATATAGGTAAAATGTCCTTTTTACATCAAGTTTCAAATTCAATATTGGATATATTAATTTTCTGTGAAGGGTCTAGCCAGAAAGGCTTGGTAAATCGGACCTCCGCGAATTTCAAGGTGCGAATTTTTTGACATATTTATGACCCAAAACGATAAATCTATGGAAATTTTCAGATCTTTCTCTTGATTCCCTGATTTTTATGAATTGAAACTCCTAGTTGTTCAATTTTATTCTTTTTCTCATTGTAAAAATCGTTTTAAGGATCGGAAAACATTTAGTGAATGAAAATGATTCAGTTGATAAATAAAGTCTTTCATTTATAAATTATAAGGTGACTGAACGGATCGTCGTATTACGAATTTACTTAGTTTAATTGATAAATTAATTTTAAGAAATGAAACCTCCACTCGACTGTCAATCTCAAAGGGAATTGTCAAATTCCCTCAAGTACGCCCATTACGTGGCCAACAATGGGCTCCTCAAGAAACTCTATATTTCCGCAAAAATGTCTATTAGTCGGCTCTGCCCACCCGTCTAGTCGCTCCATTACGTCTTGCTCCAGGTAGGACAGCAACTATGACGCCAAAAATACTGAAATTAAACTCAAAATATTCGAACAGTGTTCTCTCTTCAAAACTCAAAAATTTTTTTTTTTAGAAAAGGACTTTGACCCCACAAAATAACATAAGGAACGAAAATACAGAGCTCGGTTGACAACCCAGCTCGCCATGAAATACTGGAAAAAATTATTCAACATTTTAATGGAATTGTTTCATAAACTATTGGGTTCATCGTATTACACCGTAAAAAAATTTTGTACTCAATTTAATTTTTTCCATAAAATATCGTTTGATACAATTCTCTGAACCTAATTGTTCATGCGATATTTACAAATGTGGTGTTCCCATTGCCAAATCCGCTGAAAAAAAAAACATTATTTCGATCAATTTTTCAATCAATAGTTCGCTATATTAAGTGAGATTAATCATTTAGTTGAATCTCCCATCGCTTCGAAGAACAATGTTCAATTAATTGCTTAAGAGTGAGACAAAAATATGGTTTGTTCTCTCTCTCGCTCCCGCGTCGTAGGGCAACTCTACCTTGCTCCCTCCTCACTAGGAGGGGAATCATGCATACCGGTGTGAGGAGTCACACAGACGTATATCCGCTGAACGCTATAGCCTCATTGGCTGTCCTTTTCGTCCCAGTCTCTCCAAAGGGGTGCTTCTGATCGGAAAGTAATGAAGGACTTTTCGCTTTAGAATCACCCCCATGCTCTTTCGGATAGGCGTGTACTTCTGGGACACCTTGTATATATATCTGCACCCATTTTGCTTGTACTGAGGGAAAGCACGGAAAACCTCGGTTGTGCAGCCGACAGATGTGACGTACATCAATTTTACGGGAGCTCGAGAGAGAGAGAGGGAACCGCGCCCAACTAATGGTCCAACAAATTGTGGAGAAGAAGAAAAGAAAAAAATAAATAATTAAAGTGATAACCGAATTTTCGCGAATTTCCCCGGACCAGCCAGAGGTTTTGCCTAGTGCGGAGAGAATTTAGGGGAGAGTTCCCGTCGGAATAATTTTAGGGGAGGTTAAGGTTAGGGAATAATTCAGGGAATAATTAATTGCAGGGGAAATCGCGTCGGTCCTCTAATCGCGCCACGAAGAGGGGTAATTAAAATTATCATCCGGCGTGGTCCATTTGCGAAATCTTCCCGGGATGAACAGTCTGGCGGCGAGTTCCAGCACCCCATAGGGAGGGATCCGTGAGGTGTTTTCAAATACGTTTAAGAGTGGAAGCTCAGTAGGGGTGTCACGATTAACACCCTGCTGAATTGTCGATTGCGTTTGTCGCGTAGGGTGTTTTCATGTCAAAATTGTTGTCCACAGATCCCCGGAGAGCCAACCGGGTAAGACTAGTCGCGAGAATCGCGTTTAATGGTAAAAATTAGGAGATTTATTTTCCCCCGATTCAAATTGGAATGGGGGGGTTTAACGCGCTGGGCGACGCCGGCGCCGCCGTAGCCAATCCACCAGAACTAACGTTCTGACGAGGCAAGAGTTTCGCCGTCTTTTTGGCAGTTATCGCCAGGACACGGAGGTGATAGGGGAGTTTTTCCACGAGGGAACAAAAGGACGCAATGGGCGGATTCAACCTTGTGCACAAGTCCCGTGCCAAGGTGAGAGAATATTCTAATTAATTCTCCCAGTCACCCCGGTGACTGGAGACCCGTTTTTGTGATTCGCGAGTGAAAAATATCCCGTTCGATCAACGGATCGAACGGAACCTTCCGTCCGTCGAGGTGTTCGCGATTGTTTTTTCGGCCACGGTTCCCCCGGAAACCATAATCAACCGCGTATGAAGGGTTATTAATCCCAGGGGACCGTCCCCGTGGAGGTTTCGAGCCATTCCGCATGAAAATGCCGGTAAAAATCCCGGGAGAAACTGTCAAAAACCCGCGTGGAATGTGAGGATTTTTCTCGATTGGCCTTGAACGGCGTACGTGCCGTCGAAGCCTTGAGTATTTCCCCCACTACGCTCCGCTTACCGTAACTCCGGCTCAATGGCTTTTGGAAAATTCCCGTTCCAAAAAACGCAGATATCTCGGTCCCCGTATGCGGTGAAAATCCCCAATTTTGGGAGGATGTAGGCGAGTTATCCTCCTCGATGGTGGAGTTTATTCGGGCTCGATCGGTTGACCCATTACGGCGCCGGACAATGACAACTGTTAAAAACTTATCCTAACGCGCGCCGTGCACGTTGAACGTTAGACACGGATGTAGAGAGCTACTGTACTCACCGAGACAGTGTGATTGATGAACACAGCAGATTTTCTGCATTACTAGTTTACTGCACAACTGAGTTTTACCGTGCTTTCCCCCACTACAAGCCAAATGGGTGCAATTGACAAACGTCGGTCCATGGAACTGTAAATAGAAAAGCATAAAGAAGATAGTACGGATATGAAATAAATACTAAATTCGAAACAAATACATCGGAGGTCATGAGGCGTTCAAGACAATAGAAACAAAATGAAATTCAGCGGCGAGAAAATGAGCAAACGTTCACAATAAAAATCTAGTAATGAACAAAATGAAAGTTGCAAAACTTAATTAATTCAATCTCAAAATGAAAGAATTGTCACAATCAATCATCTAAAAAGTAATTAATTCGGAACGAGAGAGAGACCAAAAATTACTGACTGAAGTGGCCAGAGATGCCCTGATAGAGACCACTGTAGAATAGTTCTGCAGGACTCCGATGTCCGAAACATCGAAAATAAATCACACTGGCAAATCTTTCACCGCTAATTCACGAAACAGAACATCTTCAGTGGCCACCACGCTCACGCAGAGATCCAGAAGTCCTTACGAAGCAACAATTTTCCTTCACAACAAAGATAACGGCCTCAACTTCTATAGCGTCCCACTAATTATCCCTCGAACCAAATTTTGGCACAGGTTATTTTAGTTTGCCCACCAAACGAGAAGTAATTTACGCGAACACGTGCGAATACGCAACATGCAGATGATGCCACGGAAATATGTGATTGGTGAGGACAATGTCATCATCCACTAATTCCAATTAATTCGGCATGCGCGACCGCTATAATTCATTTCATACGCATGCGCTCTCAATTTTTTCGATGCTCAAACTTAATTAACTGTCCTTAAATAATGTGAATAAATTCACAGCGCTTCTCTCATATCTCAAAATTAATTTCTGCGTCCTCTGTTGCGATGGGAGAAATGATTCTCTCACATTATTACGGACAATGAATTTCCAACTGATCTCCAATCAGCCACGTGTCCTCATCACTGCGTCACTTTCGATGTTATGGATGACTGGATTGTGGCTCCATCACGGTTACGTACGAAACCAGTCGAAGAGAAAAAGTTACAGCAGGCGATGACATCTCTCGGCTTCCTTATGATTCTCAGAACGTCCTCCGAAGGAGCGCGGTGACGCGTGAATTGGATTCAAATTAAAAAACATAAAACATAATATAACACGATCATTAGTTGTCCCATCTTCAGCCTCAGAAATCTTGAGGAAATCAGAAATAAGGATTTTAAATTGTAAGGAGGCATGAACCGATGGCCTAAGGGACATAGCTAATCAGGACTTGTCAATTAGGACTCTTGTCGGGCGACATTAGATAAAGTTCTCCGCCACCATATCTACCACATATATTGTTTCTTTCGTCGTTATTATTACTTTTGTCTTCACTATCCTGAAAATATAGTTATTCAGTCAACTCTGTGTTTGTGAAAATTACTTAATTGTCAACCTAAACCAGGGGAGTCGATTTCCGAGGCAGTGACTGTAAGTAGCCCGTATTTCTGTATAACTTCTCTCTCCTTGGTCTATCTTTTCTTCATCAGGTCCCCAAAGTCGATTCTACCCCTTGTTCGAGTCTATTACTCTTTATAAATTCATTGATTGAAATATACCGAGTGGTTAATAACCTCGCCAAAGTTGACTGGCGCGCAACATTATCATCGAATCATTAAAATCATCCGCCTTGAGCCCCGGCAGCTGTTCACCCAAGCCGCGTCGGGTGAGATCTTTTCAACAAACTTCCTTATTTTCATTACAAAATTGAAAGGTAAAAAGGATCTTGTCTCAATAATTAACCACGTCTCTCTTTTCTCTTAAAATTCCTGCCATTGAGAGTGACTTCCCGTGTAGTGGAAATCAACAAAGGTAACGCGAATCGGTCAAGAACCCGTAGCTGGTAAAATACCCTATTACAATACGTAGACTAGTGATGAAGCATGATACTTGTATCCCAACATTGTAATGATTTGTTTCTGTGCTCTCAGCAAATACTCAGGAAAATCCTAACTCATTTAACCGAAACCCTGAAACACGGCCAAAATGATCACTTTCGTTTTCGTTTTCAAATCTGAAACGCCAAAACCATACACAACCATAACCAGATCTTGGGAACAGTCGGCAGCTCATCCAAGCCTTATACAGTCAGTATTTAGAGCGCCAA